ATTATTGTTCACAATAACCCATTTGGTGAGCATTTGTCAAAATATACACGAATTGAGATTCAGTTCATATTCAATGGCTTTCGTACGCGGAATGCATTGAATTCTCGGATACATTGCATCTAAAATATCTATAATTTTAATTTCAATGTTTAATTTTATTATAGGATTCAGTAAAATGATAAAATAATTAATTGTTTTATTAATTCCTACCGATTATGCATTAATATTTGCCAATAAAACAAAACTTTCCCTAAAAGTAATAAATTATCGATAAAATGATTTTTAATGTTGCGCTGTATTAGGAATTTTGGATGTTTTTTGGATTATACGATACAAATCATTATTTAAAAGTTAATTTGAGCTTTAATTTAAAGTTATTTAAACAAAATATAGTAATATTTGCTTAATTATTAAAATTTAATTATAAAACATGTGTTAACGTAACGAAAACATATACAGAATTGAGAAATTATATGATTTTAATTGCTTTACAATATCATTATAATTATCTATGTTTTATATGTAAATTATAATAATAATTAATTTTATAAGATAAAAATGGGGTTTGAAATTAAATACAATTGATTCAATAAGAAATAATATATATTAATTGACGATAACCTAGGATATTTTGAGGTTTAAGTATAGTTACGCTCAGGAAAATGGCGAATCATTGCAAATCGTTTATTATATCTGTATTTAAACAAATTACAACCTATTGTATGCTTTTATTTAAACTAAATATAATTAATTTGAATATTTAATAAATTCAGAGCAAAACAAAGCAAATGATGAAAAATCAAAGAATTCGTGCGATTTTGATAAGAATTTGGAGTTTTTGAACGAAACTAATTTCAATTATAATAATCACTACCATTTGGGAGAGAAAAATCCAAGCTCTATAAACATTATGTCTGGCATTAAATCACTTGTTTGTGATTTCAATGGCATTATAATCGCAGAAATGGTATTAAAAGAGTTTAGTTTATATAAAAACTTTCATTTAAGACTATATCTCATATTAAGGTCTATCGCTGTATGATATGTGATGTGATATACGAGACAATACCTGAGGTCCAGATCCACTATCAGACCAAACATATTGACCAGGATTTCCAGAGCACTTCATCCCATATGAATCATACAAATTGTTTGGCCAACACTTCTTTGTCGCCGAATCCCAAATCTATGACAACAAGTCTCTCTTTTTTCGGTTCTTTGCAATCGACGACTGACTCTAATTGGATGGATAACGACTCCTCCACTCCTCAGACCTTGACATTCGATGTGCCCTCAGGTCTGAAGACATTACAGCAACAGTTTGAGAGCACCACTAAAGACGTCCAGCCGAAGAGGAGAGGCAACAAACCATTTACTACGGGTAATCCTAAAACCAAATCTAATTTCAACAATAAGGCCAGAGGTTAGAAATGTCACTACAATTTATAAGATATATTTTGCTAAATCAATGCATGATATTTAAAGTTTTGGGACAAACGAGTAGTCCGACTATCAAATCTGGTTTCATAACGTGTGAGATATGCGGCGCAACAAAGTTTTATAAATATACTCAACGAAGATTTGGGGTCTATAGGTATAATATGACCACTTCTTCCTATAAAGTCCTTGACTTTGTATACAAAATGCATTGTCTTTCAGTTGTGTCGGGTGTGCAAAGTTTTACACCAAATATCTGGTAAAACCTGTCCACTATATGTGCGAAAATCTTGGTAAAAATATTAATTGGATTATATCTAACAATTAGATTTTGAAATAAAATTTTTCAGTTGTGTCGGGTGTGCAAAGTTTTACACCAAATATCTGGTAAAACCTGTCCACTATATGTGCGAAAATCTTGGTAAAAATATTAATTGGATTATATCTAACAATTAGATTTTGAAATAAAATTTAAATTATAGGGAAATGCAATTTGAAAGTTAGTGAATGCGAACCCAACGGCAGATGTAAGGCATGTCTTATTCACAAATGCAAATCAAAATTCATTATCGATTCAAAAAAGTTGACAAACTATTCAAAGATGAGCTCATTTTTACCGCAAAACGACAGCAAAAAGACGTCGAATGAAAACAAGACTAAAATAAGTACAAAACCCGTGAATACAAAAGAGACAAATCGTAACATTAAGCCCAAGACATTGATTCAAACGACTGCTGAATCGAAAGCGAAAACTTTTAATTCTCCCAAAACTAAGACAGAGACCGAGGTTTCCACACTCAACAAAACAACCTCATTGTCTTCACACAGGAAACTAAAATCAGATAAAACTGTAAGAAATATTAACGAGAAGAATGAGAACCAAACTAAGAAAACTGGAAACACGGGTCCCGTAACTAAAA